GAGGGGGGGGGGCAAACGAGAAAGTACCGGAAAACTCAAGTTCAGACCTGTCAAGTGGAGCCAGGTGTCAATGTTTGAAGAAGAAGAGGAGCCCCTTCTATGATTTCTACAGCGGCGAATTAGTTAACCCTTTCACTCACCCCCTCGCGGGGTGGATTGAGTAGTTCCACCGAGAAGGTTCTTTGTAACGCAAAACCGCGAATTAAATTGATTAACCTGCGAATTAAATAACCCTTTCATCACTTCGAGGGAAAAATCGGGAATTAATTAATCAAACCGCGAATTAAACCGCGACCCCGCGAATGAAACCGCGAAATTAATTAACTCTATCATCACTTCGAGGGAAGGAATTGCGAATGCATTAATCAAACCGTGAATCAAACCGCGAATCAAACCGCGAATTACACCGCGACCCCCGAATTAATTAACCCTTTCACCACTTCGATGGAAGAAATTGCGAATTAATTAATCAAACCGCGAATTAAAGCGCGACTCCGCGAATCAAACCGCGAATTAATTAACCCTTTCATCACTTCGAGGGGAACATCGCGAATTAATTAATCAAAACGCGAATTGAACCGCGAATTAATTAACCCTTTCTTCACTTCGAAGGAAAATCGCGAATTAATTAATCAACCCGCGAATCAAACCGCTAATTAAACCGCGACCCCGCGATTCAAACCGCGAATTGAACCGCGACCCCGCAAATTAATCAACCACCCACCCACCCACTTTCATCTGACCCCCCTACTGGGCCCCAACGACCAGGTCGACGCCAAAAACGTTGCCCCAGAACCCGTATTACTACACTACTGAAACTTTTTTTCATATCGTTTTCCTGAAAGCTGAGACTTTTTTACGTAAGCATGAATTTTTTCAAATTTTTCGTGACGATCTGTGGTAATTTGAACAAATAACATTGAGAAAGAAGCTTAAAAATCGAATATGGCCTACGGGTTTTATGATAGCAACCAAAAGTAAAAAAATTCACGACTGCTTTTTTTTACTAGAAAAAAAGCATACTATGTGTACGTCTTAATTCACGGCCTTTTTTTCGACAATTTTGACGTTTATTTTTAAAAAATAAATACAGTTCTAAACTTGAAAATAATTGCCGTCAATTTGCACGCATTCCTCTCATAAGTAGTAAGTGTCCACGATAGGCGAATTTCCCACGCTCCCTCCCCCCTTTTTCCAGGAAGTACACGTGTGCAAGTCCCCCCTTCACCCCTCGGCGGCATGCGTTTTGAAGAGGACGTCGGCGCGCTAGGGGGCCCCCTGGGGTTGCAGGGCCTCAAAGTTGGGATCCGAGGGTCACAGGAAATAGGTGGTGGGTCTAAAATGACCGGCAGATGGAAAATGGGTGGCGGGTGGAAAAGCGGTGGTGGGTGGAAATGGGGCAGTGGGTGGGAAATGGTTGGTGGGTGGAAAATGGGGCGGCGGGTGGAAAGTGGGTGGTGGAAAATGGATGACAGGTAGAAACTAGTAGTCAGGTGTCGGCGAGAGTCCGGATATCGCTCCCTAGGACATTGGAGGCACCGTCCTTGAGACTCCGGAGAGACATTGCGCTTTCGAAAATTTTTTTTGTAAAGGGATAACAAAGGATTGCAACCATGAATGACGCAAAGAGCGGACAATACGTTCTCTCTCTCTCTTTTATTTTGAGGACGGTGAATTTTTCGAGCTGATATGGAGCCGAAGTATTTTTCTGGAAACTTCTACGTAGCTGAAAAAATGTCAAGGTTTTTCGTAAATGAATAACACAAGGTTTATAAATGACTTTTTCTTTAATTCATGTAAAATGATGGAATACATTTTTAGGCTAACAAATGATATTTATTTTCGTTTTAATTTAAAATTATTTACAATCACAAGAGATTATTATTATCATATAGTCTTTAATATGAAGTTTCGGTAAGCCCCTCGCGCAAAACCAACCAACTCATCGTAGCAGAAATGGAACATTTCACCAAATAATTGATACAAATATCCTAGATTCTCCTGAGGTATTATACAGCGGAGGTCATCCTTGGCCAGAAGGTAAATCTCCTCGAAATTGTTGTGTATACAATAGTGGAGTTCTTCAGTGGCTGGCATCCTGGTGTATTCCATATAATGCATGGCAACACTTGTGATCGCCCGGACCAGAGACTCCTTCTATTGTTTGAGAGGCAATGAGTCCAAAAATTTTAACCACTTATCGATCCATGCCGCTTTGTTTTTTAATGTTGTAATGCTTGGGTTTATCATAATGAGGGGTTGCCTTACATCAGCACGTACAAAAGCAACGCAGAGGTTTCGTAGCTGCGATGGAATCTCACTTTGACATCCCCAAATTGCTTAGCGGGTACATTGTAGACGGCTTTTGGGTGAAACTTCTCAGGATCATAGTAGTCCGTAATGGCATCCAGATCTTTGTACAGAAGGCCCCATTCCTCCTGTGACATTGACAGCACGACACGGTTGGGGCGTACGGCCATAAACTGCACCACAGGAACAAATTGACCGAGACAGGTAACTTGTAAACCAACACGAATTTGCTTCGTCTCCGACTTATTGAGAGGTATAACTTGTGACAGCACTACCTGCTGTTCGACACTACTGCACTCTTTTTCGTTGATATTTTCCATGTTAAAAAAATGATGGGCGAAATCGGATCGACTGGATGAAATACACGGCGAGCAGCCGCGTTTTATGAAAGTGGGGCGCGCTCAATTCCCTCCACCATGCACATAACAGGGCTATACTCACCACACATTACCCCCACCGTAGGGAGTGCTGCGGCGTCGGCGTCACGCATGACCCCCACACCATGGATTTCATATGATGTATATTCCCCCCCCCCCTCCCACCTCTATTATGCTACCTCCACTTCTATCATATTCCCCCTACCGCTGTGAATTTTTTAAGAATACGAGTGACATGGATTTAATTTTTGTCAGTCGTTCGTGAAAATATATTTGTGACAGTAAAAATGAATAACATTTGGAGAGATCAAGACGTCGAACTGTTCGATAAATATCTCGCAGATCGGTCATCAAGTGAGAATTACAGGGAAAAACGAAAGCCTAGATTTCGTCAGAAACGCAAACGTGTATATGTTGATAAATACACGGAGAATGAAATGTACATACCGCCGAAAAAACGCAAGATCGTGGCAAAAAAAGAACTAGAATGCCAAGTAGATGAGTTTCTTGATGAATTTCCAATCAGGTAATGAATGTTGCTGCAAAGACGAACGTACAAGAGAAGAAGAGAGTAAAATACATATTAAGTATCGAAGAGATAAATTATGTGGTCAAGACGAGAATGCAATGGATATGTATACCATTTTTCAAGTGTGCTACAACAAAGAACTGGCTGACTCCAACGAAGATATAGAAGCGAGTTCCCGAATGATGGATAATCCTCCAGCGCTGAGAACCATCGCCATCGCTAGTTTATTAAACGATAGAAAATATGCGAAAAATACGAAGACTTTGCATTTGGTGAAAAGAGCAATCCTGTTCAATAGTGATGTGTTATTATACAAAATGTGGAAATCAGGGTTCCATTTTTTCAGGGCTATAAAAAAAAGGAGATTGTATAAAGCGAGAGTGGGTGAAAAATTTGCCTGGCCTCAATTCTATAGGGAGTGCAGCGAAGAATACTATTACCCTGCGGGGGAGGAGACACTGATCTATAAGCAAAAACGACCAATCACTGAGCTTTCTTTACAATAGATAGCAAATGCAAACGAAGTGGGCTGAAAAAGAAAAACTAGAGGCTTATTTCTCATAGGATATTCAGGACTCCCCACCAAGGTTAGATTTTCCAAAGTATGGAAAACTCGTAGCTCCTTCTAACTAGTGCTGCATAAAAGAGCCTTACGAGGATGTTTTGACTACATTTGCGTCTGCGGGAAAATGACATCAAGTCAAGTGAGCCCATCTCCCAAAAGCAGTGGAAGTTTAGTGCCTCCAACAGGTTATAAGCCTGGAAGTTTTAAACCAAAAGACCTCGATATTCTGTGAACACGAAAAATCAAAACGGAATAAAAATAGTGAATAATCGGGTAGTGGAAAACAAAAGTGAAGAAAAAAATAAGATTGAAAAAATGCTAAAAAAGTGAAACTCCAGCAACGTGAAGCCTCCAAGCCCGGGCCTGCCATAAACATTGAGCCTGGCACCCAAGTGACTGAAAAGAAGAAAAACTCGGGAGGATGGTTGAGCAATAAATCCTCCCATAGCGCTCCAAGCGATTCCAAAATTGTGGATGCGAATAAAAAAAATGAAATTATTCAAGTGAGCACGGAGGATAAAAACTTGTGGATTAATATGCTGGAAGACGATCTTGATATGTTCAATCAAGTGTGTGATGAAAATTTACCCCTTGAAAATAAAAATGTGGTGGAAAAGCAGCAGCAGCAGAAGGAAAAAATAAAGGATACTGATAAAAAGAAGCAGGGAAAAGCACGTGCTCGTAAAAATCGCTTAAAAATCGCTGAAAAGAAGAAGGCCGAATTCAACGCTCGGGAAAGAAGGAGGCAGTTGGCCAAGGAAAAACAGAGGCAATTCAGGGTAGATAGTGGGAGGGCTTCTGCAGCTATATAAGCTGCGAGGTCTCTCTAACCATCATATACAACCTCACCTTCGGTCCTCAGGATTATTTTGTGTTTTTATTGTTTTTCGTTTTTTTTGTGTTTTTCTGTTTTTTATTTTTAAAAAATGGTGGTGTCAGTGATCGCCCGGGAGGATGTCTGCAGGGTGGTTATCATCCATATGGTAAATTCTTATTTATTTCTATTTTCAGTGTTTTTTTCGTTTTATCGTGTTTTAGTGTTTTAGTGTTTCATGTTTTTTCGTGTCCGTGTTTTTTAGTGATTTTTTTTCGTTTTAGTATTGCGTCCCGTGTTTTTTTTGTGACTTTTTTTTTAGTGTTCGATTTTCGTTTGTTTTTTTCGATTTTCTTTTTTTTCTGTTTGTTTTTTTAATTCCTCTTACGGCAAACGCGTGTATTTTTTGTTCAGTTTTTCGTCCGTTTTTTTCGTCTTTCGTCAGGTTTTTTCGGTTTTCGGTTAAAATTCAGTTTTGTTTTTTTTCGGTCGAAACATTCTTTTTTGGCTCGCGTTCTTTATCACGGAAATGTTTCCGTATTAGATTTTTTTTGCTCGCGTTTTTCCATTAAAAAAATTGTCGCTCGCGTTTTTTTCTAATAAAAAAATTTTCATTGTTTTTTTAAATCTTTTTTTCAGATGCAGGAGACGAGAAGGGAGAGGGCCTATCTCAGAGCAGCCAATGAGTGGCTGCGCTGGGAGGATGAGGAGGGCGAGACTATCGATGGCGAAGATATCTTCGCCATTCGTGACCTCCACGCCAGGGCGGAGGGCTGGTTGGCAGAGGCCGAACATGAGGCTTACATGGTAAGTCTCTCTCTCTTTCTCCCCCTCCCTCCCTCATATTCAATTTCTATTCCTTTTCCCCCTCTAATAACCCACCCTTCCTATCTATCCCACTAATTACCCTCCTTTCCTGTCTATCCGTCCCGTCCAATGACTACCTCTCTCTTTCTCTGTCCCTTCCTGGTTACCCCTCCGTTTCTCCTCTTCTTCCCTTCACCCTCATTTCATTTTTATTAATGTTTTTTTCTTCTTTTCTTTGTTTTAGAGAGGAGATCGGTGGGAGGGTGGTATGGGCCCATACACCCACAGAGCTCAGTGGGTCCGGGCTCTCCGAGAGGAGGCCGGGCGGATGGAGGTCGAGAGCGAGCAAGCTCTCGACTTGTACGACGTGGAGGATCTCTGGGACTTCCACATCCTCTTCGGGGACGCCCCTCTCCAGCCAGACCACAGCGCAGATAACTGCGACCTCGAGGAGTGGGAGTGAGGCCTACAGCCGCCGGGAGGGGACAATAATAATATAATGCATTTTCTTTTTAAAAAAAATCTATTTTTAGTCTTAAGTTTCACTTTTAAGTTTTAGATTAAAAAAAAATGCATTTTTTAGAACTAAGGTTTTTGAATTAAAAAAAAACATTATATATTCCTCTTCTTCATTTCAAAAATAAAATACCTCCAAAAATTTACTTCCCTTTAAATTTAAGCGACTAGCAAAAAAACTGTTCACTTTGGTTTTTTTCATTAAAAAATTGATTCTTTTAAAAAAAATGGCATAAATAAAAACTTATATCTAGTTTGAATTTAAAAAAATGTTCATTAGTTTTTTACGAAAAATTACAAAAAAAATCTCAACTTGAATAAAATCTAAAAACTTAATCTAGCTTATATCTAGCATAAATTCTAAAACTAAATCTTATGTCTAATTCTTAATACTAAGTTTACATCTAATCCCTAATGGCTACCTCAAAAACCAAAAAAAGTTTTCATTTGTCGGGTTCAATCGCGCGTCGTTTTGTCTTATATCCGTAGGGGAAGGTGGCAGCGCCCTCATCAAGCCTTCGTTTTGGGCCCGTCGCCCGTATAATCTTGCTCTCGGGCTTCGTGATGACGTCATGGTACATTGTCCGTCATATACCCTTGTAATTGATCTGGTAAGGCTCTACCTTATTGACAACGAGGGCACGAATCGATTCGTAATGAATCTGTTTACGCGTCTCATAATTTAGCCTAACACCTTTTATTTTACTAACTTCTGCGATACTCCCGTCAGGTTTCTTAACACGATGAGTATAAAATTTAGGGCCACCAGAGACAAAAGACATAATAAAACTTCCTTTTCCGTAGCCCTCGACTTCATCGGTCAGATCATCTAGAAAATTCCCTAGTGGTAACTCGTTACTTTCGTCGCTCACGTAAATAACCGAGTCTGTATCATGATACAAAACGCGTTCTTGCTGTTTCTCTAAATAAAAATATAACTTGAGACGTGCGTGAGCTATTGTATAAGCCGCAATAACAACGTTGGCTTTGGTAGACAGTTCTGCAGCTTCGTTCAAATGTTTCCAGGACATGAAGAGAGTCTCGTCATCGACAGGGACAAGCCCTATCACTTCCATTTCAGGATTGAACATTATGTTGGCAAACTCCTCATATGTTCGAATAATTGCCTTTTTCGTTAAATTTTCTCTCTCCCCAAATTTACCCCAGAGACAGTTTAAACAAAGTTTTGCTACTGCTCTCAATTCAGCATTCTTTTGAATTCTATCCTTGTCCGGTTTTATACCTTCTCTCGCCTCATATTCAGCTATATATATATCCGTGCATTCATCAACTGTGCATTCTGCTGGCCAATCGGAAGCCTCTTATTTGATTTTCAGGAAAGTGTTTATATACTCGGCAAATAAAACTCCTGTTCGTGTCACAGGATCATAACGCGTTGTTTTTTATCCTCCCAAATTTTACTAATTGCCAAAATCTTATATCTCACCTCTACTGCTTCACGAAGCTCATGTCTGCACAGCGGTCGCACACAGTTTGGGCTACGCAAAGCGTTGGTACGTGTATGTTGACTTCATCAGTTCCTTGCATCAGCTCATCTTGTCTCGTCTCAAAGTCATAGAAAACAAATGCAACGCATTTAATTGTTCAATGTAGCGTTTAATTGTTCATTTGTTCAACTTTTCAATGTAGTCATGTAGTATAGATGAGGAATATCTTCGTCCTTTCAGCATACGGTACAATAATACTTGTCACACACGTGTTTCTGAATTTTCCGATGATCACTTTTTACATTGCATTTTTTATAGAATTTTATATATCCACATACGGCTGGCTTGTTTCCGCTATAAAACTCTACTTTTTTATGTTGTTCGAAGCACATTTGACCATGGAATTCTCGATTACACTCGTCACACACTATTTTATCGACGATTGTAGAGTCACACGGAGCATTTTTCAGACACCTGTCACAAGTTTTATCACAAACATGCCCTCGAGCGTTGTAGGGCTTATTGCAATGTTCACACTAATATGTAGTGCCGAAAAAAGAAGGTAAATTTTGAATCGGCCCGTAATGTCTGCCTTCCGGATAATACACAATGGGTAGGGTATATTGGGCAGGTATATTTCTGCTCGTCAGTTCAGGTACGCTATCGTAGAGTACAGGATGATCTTTTCCATTTCTTTTGAGGGAATAGACCTTGATAATGCATCTTTCTTCTGCCAAGTATCGGTGATATTGGGCAATTTCTTCTAAACCACAACCATTGTCAGGAACAATGACCCTAGCAGCCAGGGTTAGGCGTTCGGCCTCCTCACGTTGCATTTTACCCTTGGATTGTCAAATGGCCTGCCACATCTCGTGTATTTCACCCTTGTCAGCTCTGGCCTTCAATTTCTTAGCGTATACTCTGGCCACAACAAGTGATCCGGCTAAACACAAGCCATCTTCATTGGAAATGTGAAGAACACATTTTCTGCTCAGCCCTCTTTTCATGCCTTTTTCAAGAAAGCCTCCTTAACCTGCAGGGGCTTCAGCCGCAGTTTTATCCTAAATATGTCGGCACAGTCGAAACCATTGGCGCTCTGTGTAATAGAGCTCACTAGATTCCACAAATCTTGAAACTCATATCCATTGATCCCACGTGGCCTCATCCATGCGTTGTTTCTTTGCATATTTGCAAAATTGAATATGAGACACATTCGATCCATTCCGCGGCCCCCGGCTTCTATGATATTATTGTAGCAATCCAGAAAATCTTCTTCCACCCACTCGGTCGGATTGCGACCTTCACACACAGGGTTAATTCTAAACTCCATCACAAGTTTGTCGAGTTTGAAACGAGGGAGCCTCCAGCGTGACTTTCGTATTGTTCTCAGTGCTAACGGTGGGCCTCCCACCTCTTCATTGCGGCCAATTTGCGCATCTGAAATTGAATTCATTTTTTAATGAAAAATATTCCTTTAGAAAAAAATATTCATTATTATTATGATAAAATGTGATACTCACCATTGTGTTGAACTAGTAAATCTAGATTGAAGGCTTCAACGGCTTTGAGCGCCTCAGAATCATTGATCACATTTTTACCACCACCATATTGAATATCGAAGAGCTCAAGATTAAAATTTTCGAATAAATCCACATCAAAATTACCTTCAATTTCAAAATCACTCAATAAGTCAAGATTAAAATTATCGATCCAATCAAAATCGCACTCCAGAAGTGGGGTATTTCCTCTAGAAGTACCACTAGGCCCTGGTAAATCATATGGGTCCGTCATTCTGAGCAACTTTTAGGAAACTGTCGGTAAGTGAGAAAAAAAATCAGTCTATATTTGAAAAAGTCAGTGTCCTACTATTGGCCACAGGGGGGACAAGTGTATATCTCCGGTATTTTACCTGAACACGCCTACGCGCATTATCCTTGACCAATGAGGTAATAGCCTCCCTTAGCAGGTCAAACCCTTGGGGCCTTACGACACCCCTGCCGTTTTGAAATGCATACTACTTTTTGAATCTTATACAAGTATATAAAATGACGAGTTTTTTACAATCCTTAATCAGACGTCAACATGGATAGAAGGTGGAAACATCCCTTCACTATCATGATTTGTGGACCCACAGGTTGTGGGAAAACATTTTTTGTTAAAAGATTTTTGAAAGAAATTAAACAAATGTGTGATACACCGATTGACAAAGTGATTTTGGATTATGCTGAGTGGCAGAATGGATATTCGGATTATGACAAAAATTTTGTCGAATTTCGTAAGGGCTCGCCAAAATCCGGAGATTTTGATGATAATAAACCAAAATTGATTATTGTGGACGACTTGATGCGTACATCATCGAATGTTGCAATAGTCGACTTATTCGCAAAAGGCAGTCATCACAAAAATCTCAGTGTTATGTTTATATCTCAAAATTTATTCCACCAAGGAAAAGGACAGCGAGATATATCATTGAATACAAATTATATTGTCGTATTCAAAAATCCTCGAGATCGTGCACAAATAGCACATTTGGTTCGTCAGATATACCCAGAGGAGCCAAAATTTCTACAGAAGGCCTATTTTGACGCCACATCGGAGGCTCATGAATATTTGTTACTTGATTTAAAACAGTCGACTCCTGAAAACTGCAAATTTCGTACCAATGTATTCCCTAGCGACCCCTATCACTATGTTTATATTCCACGGAAGGATTACAATATAAACGGAGGAAGCTCATTGCGAAGTGTACCAGTCGTGCGTGTGTAATGGCAGACAAGTCGGTCTGGAAGCGGCTGTGTTCGCAAGTCGCTCGGAGAAAAGAATACTGCCTTATTACACGCGCTCATTCATGCTCCTCCGAGGTTACGACGAGCAATAATACAACAGGCTAATAAAGATTTGATTCGCTGCATTTGTGAGTGTGCTCTGAATTTACCGCACGGAAATATTCCTTGGAAAACTTGCGAAAAGTCAGAATTGTGCGAACATGAAAAACTTCTGAGGAAGTTGGCTGATAAAAATCAGAGTTTATTCAGCCAAAAAAAATCATCAATCAGAAAGGCGGTGCCTTTTTATCGATGTTATTGGGACCTCTTATAAGCGCACTCATCTCAGCAGTTGTATAACGATGGAACATCCACGAAAAATGATACTGGTGTCAGAAGACAGTGTGGAACGGCTAAAAAAAAATTCTACACATGATGCTCACTGTGTTTTAACTGAATTAGTTGAAGAAATTCAGCCGGTTAGCTCAAACCCCTGGTACTGTTACAAGTCGATTGGATGGTCAATTCTTGGAAATTTTAAATTCGAAAAAAAGGTTACATGACTAAATAACATTGTACAAAAAAACAGCACAGTACAATAACATCATAAGTCAAAGTCAGCACAGAAAATTATATTGTGGTCCTTTTTTTGGGATTCGATGCCAGCCACGTCCTCGTCGTGGATCCTGGGAAACGCCAAGAGCTGGTAAGGCGTGAAATGTAATTGCCTTACC